TAGTACTGTTACAGTAATGGCATTACTATATAGAAGAACAACATATAATTGTCACCGTTTTATGTCATTTGTAATAGTAAAATATTGACAGCATACTGTTGTCCTCTCAGAATTAACAGGAGACAACCTGGTGGTGTTCGCTCACGTGTTTTGACTGACCAGCAGGAGTTAGCTGTGGTGGAAATGGTCAGGGCAAGGAATGACATACTGCTGTCTGAAATCAAGCAGGCTATTGAGAACAGCAATGACACCTTTGCCAATGTGCTGTCAATTAGCCTTCCAAATATTGGCCGCCTTTTGAAGAAGCACCAGGTTTCTGTGAAACCAATTTACTTGGTGCCTTTTGAGAGAAACAATGCCCGGGTGAAACAACTGCGTTCAGAATATGTTCAGGTACAACACTAAATTGGTGTACTGTATGACATGCAATTTACAGTACTGACTAACAATGTCAACTATTATTTGTAAAAGAGCTAACCAAATTATTATTATTTTAGAGGGTGATGGAGCTGGACACTGCTGTGAATCATTACAAGTATATTTTTGTTGATGAGTCCGGTTTCAATCTGGCAAAAACCAGACGCCATGGACGTAACCTTATTGGCCAAAGGGCAACCATCCAAGTGCCTGGACAACGTGGGGGAAACATCTCAATGTGTGCAGCTATATCTGAAGATGGTGTGGTAGGCTGTAGACCAGTTCTAGGATCATACAACACTGAACACCTGATAGCTTTTCTAAATGAGCTTGAGCAGTCCTGTCAGGGTGAAGCTGGCATCTATGTTTTTGTGTGGGACAATGTCAGTTTCCACCATGCAGAGCTGGTTCGGGAATGGTTTCAGGCACATCCTCGGTTCATGACCCTCTACCTTCCCCCATACTCTCCTTTCCTCAACCCAATTGAGGAATTCTTCTCTACATGGAGATGGAAGGTGTATGATCGCCATCCCCTTGAGCATGTCACCCTTCTTCAAGCCATGGATGAAGCTTGTGGTGATATAAATTCAGAGTAGTGTCAAGCCTGGATTCGTCATGCTAGATGGTTTTTCCCGCGGTGCCTGAACAATGAAGACATTAACGGTGATGTTGATAAATTTATGGCCGAATGTTGAAGACATGCTTGATAATTAATGTGAATTTCAGGTCTACATTTACAGGTTGTTTGTTTGTTTGTTTCTTTTTCACATGCAACCATAGTATTGTTGTAAATTAAAATAAAACACTTTTTTTGCTTGCGTATGTAAATGACTTTTGATGTGTTCTTTGATCACATTTTTATGTTGTATAAAGGTTGTTTTTTTTATATATAGCTTTTGTCTGAACGTAAGTGTAACATTTGCTGTGATGGCTGTGTATATAGTTTTACAGTAACATTCATTCAGCACCGAGGGTGATTTGAAACCTGTACCTTGTGTTGTTTGCTACTGAATGAACTGATTGTTAAAAATACTAAGCTGAAAAAAAGATCTTACTGTTGTGTTTTGGTGATTAAACCAAATGTTCTCAATACATATCACAATGATCTTGTGTTCTGAAACAATGATTATGTGGAATGAAAATGTGCAACTACAATGAAATCATCAGGTTTTGAAAGAATGACTAGTTGTATTACAAGTGTGATCGGTTTAAAGTTTTGTACTAAGAGTTTCGATAATGTACACCAAATGTACACAAAATAGTATCAAACCAATTAAAAAAAACTGTAAAGCATTTATTTAAATATTAATCTGATTTCATAAAATGTTTGTATTTGTAAAAGTCAACATATTGAACTTTAAAAGCATGAATGCAGTTTAAAGCCAGAAAGACAGTATCATATACAGTAGAAGAATGTAAAGTGCCCTTTAAGCAAGTGAGAGTTTATATGAAAACTCTGTGGCCACAGTTTTATTAGCCATGAGTAATTTGCTTCAGGTCTTGGGTTATCTAACTTATGAATGTTTCAGGCCTTGTGCATTAAACACTGATGACCAGTTTAGCTTCGGCACAGACAACCGCAGCAGCTTGACTTGAGGAGATTTCCACTGCCTTTTCCACCTCTAACACATCCAAACAACGATCTCTTCATTTTCAAACTCCTTTTACTTATGTCACTCTGAACTTCAGTTCCTGCATAAACACCCTGGTATTTTTCTCATTTGCACTCCTCTTTCTATTAGCTGGTTGATGTAGGCTGTAGGTGACCAGATAAAAGGATGTTCCATTTACCCTAAAGGTCTGCGTTTCCCAGGTTTGGAAACCCTCTAGCCAGGCAAACACTGATATGAATGTGGATGGATTCAGCTTGCATTTGCACTGCTTCAGTGGTACAGTTAAAAACGTCTCCCTAAAATCTTTCTCAACTGTCGATTGATGAGAAGCACAGACACCAAATTTGTTTTCTGACAGAAGCACCATACACCTGACCCAGACATGGAGGAAAATGGCATAAATGGAGAGATTTATTTGCGTTTTATTTTAGTCTAAGTGAGGAAAAACAACAACAACAAGCCCTAGAGTGCCGAGATGCTCATATAGACATAGGAGTCTTTACTTCTAAGAGAACATGCATCGTTTCTATGAGGGTGAGTCTGTGTAACAAAACGGCTCAAATTGATCATTGGCATGTTTTTTTAAGTAAGGAACATCCAAACTTAAGAAATATTTATGTGACAATCAAGCGATTTGTTTTGGCCTTACTTTAGACCACATCATGGATGTGTGTGTGTGGTCGTAGACAAGTTTAATTAAGTTTTTGCTCATGTGACTATAGATATTGGCTTATGAGGGCGTGCTTTTTCACAGCCATACACCATGCTGTTTCTGCAAAGACCACGCGACTATTGTCTTGCATAAGAGAAGAATTGCCCTGCTTTTCCTCTTTAGATTTTGAGGTTTACTTTTGTAAAAAAAAAATAAAAAAATAGCAAACCCCCCCCCCCCCACACACAAAATAAAAAGATAAAATAAAATTTAAAAAATTACTTTTTATGATCTATTTATTAAATTAGAACATTGTTTAGTATATTTATAATATATAGATTTTTTTATTTTTTATCTAATGTGTCACATTTACACATTCAAACATATTTTTACAAGAGAAACTCACAATAGAAAAACAAATAGAATCCAGTACTCTGTAACAGAGAATGCACCTCTACATGCAGTAATTTGAATGAGCTTTTTATGGAGAGTAGAGAGGGTAGTACAGAGGGTAGTCCTTGGATAATCAACATGTTCCACTTCAGCTTACCACTGATACTCTACATATACATACTTGAGATTGAAGATTTTTTCTTCCATTTAATGTGATCCTGGAGGTATGCATATGTGTCTTCCAGAAAATAGCCCCTTTGAACAGAATTTGCGTGGCTGACTTGTGTCTGCACCTCTAACTGGAGGTTCAGTAAAAATGTAACTAATGGTAACAGCTACTATAATAAACCAAACCCTTTGGAATGTTATTCACTGGACACAGAATCCAGTGCTAGCATGTAATTGTACTGAAAGATTCCTCAGGCACTTGGAAATTGTGGTTAAGGGGGACATTTATTAACTGTCCCACAGACTGTGGCCAGCAAATAATTTTCATGATTTAACAGTTTGAAAACTTGGAGTTAAAACACACTCACCAGAGTCTCCATTGCGTCCTCTTCTTCCCCTTTTGCCTGGTGGACCTACAGCAGGTGAGAAAACATTGTTTAAAACGCTGTTATCATGAGTAAATTTAAAATGCACTTTAGGCACATATTGAAGTAAGATTGTACTTGTAAGAAAATGCTACCTCAAAATCATTTAATTTCCTTTTTATGTATATCTATAACATTCAGAGGCAACAATTAAATACAAGGTATGTGTGTGAGAAGAGTAGATTGGGGTAGCATCTTAGTATTGGATATATTTGTTGTTGGATTCTCTCAGGACAACATCGGTTACAAATGTAAAAAGAAAAAAAGTTACAATGTAAACATGGCATAGGAGTGGCATGTGTGACAAGAGATGAATTTACAGATTTTCATTAGTGTGACCTTGAGTTTAACACTCTTCAAGACAATGTCTCATGCAGAAACCTATTTATGACTTTGCTCATCCGAGTTCACTGTTGAGTTTTACACATTAAATGTGAATCATAACCTAGAAAAACAGGATATGCCTTTTGTATCTATCAAATGTAGATGTATACATGACGGATATCTGCATGATGTTTTAAAATTCAGACAAAAAAAAGTCAACAGATGAATGCAGTAATACAGCTGTCTTCTTAATTTCTTATCAATGCTGTAAGATTTTGTTGCCAATGTCCCAAAAGGCTTTTTCTAATTAAAACTTCGAAAAAAAATTAAGACAAATGCAATTTCTAAAAATAAAATGAATAAATTGTTTTTGTTTGTTTGTTTGATGATGCATGAGGTCAAGTTGGTAATTGTTTTTTGTTTTTTTTTGGCAGAAATGTTCTGAGGGTGCATGGTAGACTTATTTTGTGAGTTTTGTGCACCACTCGAGTACATCCACAATCCATACATCTTCCAGTGTACCAAAAATTAAGGCCAACGTGTGGTCTGAAAACACAATATCATCAAAGCCACTAGAAGGCAAGCTTGCAACCTTTAGCCAAAAAAAGGCTAATGCTAACACTTCCGCTTTGGCAGTATGTGGGAAAGGAGACCAGAGGCCGTTTTTTTAATGGATGTCAATGGAGGAGAGGCTTCACTACACTGAATAAACAGCTTTTTAGAGGAAACGGCTTATCATTTAATGAATTGACAGCTTAACTGATAATCTTCAACATGTTTTACACTAAACAATACTTTTGGATTGAAATATTTTTAGAGTTTACCATGAAAAAAAAAATTTCAGTTTTATAAGAGAAGTAGAGGGTGACACGGGAGTGAATTTTCAAACCTCTCCCGTCCCACTCCCACACACAAAAAAAAAAATGCTGTCCCATCCCACGAAAAAACGAGGGGAAAATCCCCTCCCGTCCTAATCCCAGAAGAATGACTCCCATTCCCTCCCACTTCTGCATTGTGTTTTTTTGGCCGGAATCTGTTACAGTAAAAATACAATACATATCACAGCATGCCCACCTTAGGAAATGTATTGAACTTAAAGCCAGCTTAAACAATTAACAGTGCATCGCACACACATTAAATTTCATGTAAATCATCCATGCAAACACACATTTTCTATTTGAATTGGTTCATTTGAAAGTAGACATTTCACTCTCTATAGATATATTTTTCATAAACAGAGTTTCGAAGTTTTTCGCATATTTTTCTAGGTTAACATTAGATTGAGCGGCCATGTAAAGTTGCTACTACATACATCTTTCAGATGAAAAGCCGATAAATGATAGGTGAGCATTTGGATGTCCTGCCCGATGTATTGTATTACCACATAGACCAGCCATTAACGATCTGTCCGTCACGGACTGCATCATTTACTTAACCAGTCACACCAGAGCAAACAGGAGGAGAGCATAAAGAGACAGGGCAACTAGAATTTAGTTCAAAATTAAAATATACAGTTCATAGTTTATTTACATAAAAGGTATATTACAAATGAATAAATCTGCACTTCATAAAAATTAATAAATAAATAAAGTTTCACTCTTTCAGTGTTATTGGAAGATGGCCTTAAAACCATGAAAAACATCTCATATGTAATGTTGGTTAACTTTCAAGGGGTGACGTAATGACCAAGCTTAAAAGTATATCCTGAACAATCAGCGTTTGCTTCTGTGTCTACAGCAAGTGCACTATGTGAATGTGTCTGTCGGTTTGTGTTGTTTGTCCATGCCAGTGCACACAAAGTACTAACAGATGAGCTCAAGTCTCCATTACTAATTCGAAAACATCACTTTAGAACTAGTAATGAAGGAACAACGAAAAAAGGACATTATTTTTACTTTTAAAAACACCTTGTAAGACACAACCAACAAATAGATTGACCAGCATTATCATGGGAAATCCCCTTAGCAGCTAAAAGTTTACTAAAATAAAGAATGCTTCCCTCAGTAGTAATTCAAACTAATGTTTTATTCTAAATATGAGATCAAGCTGAAGAATCAACAGGTAATCACACTCGCTCAGTCCATCTTTCTATCATAATACTCTGCTCTACATAATACAATAAGCTTTCAATTAAGCAACTCAATGTTATTTTGTTAGTTCTATACATGCACACACATTTACCTTAACATGATTTATTCTTTAAAGCTGAATTTAAATAAAAATATGCAAAACACAAAGCACTGGACACGCAAGAGGTAGAGGCAAGATGGTACTTTGGGTTTAAACCAGAAATGATCAGCTGCAGTAAGACAGGAGAAACATGATTCCCCTTTCCTCATTAACTTGCTTCTGAGTGGCTGTGCAGTGCAGCCTGTGCCAAAAAAGCCTCTTACTCTTTTTTTTTTATTTGTGTCACAATAATCCTGCAACAGTGGTTTTACACATAACCTTAGATTTAACATGAAACTTTATTAGTTTTTCTCGATTGCTAACACACTATAACTGATTCATTTGGCAAAATTTTCCAAAACATTCATACAGTTCTCAAAACAAAGACACGTTTCTCAAAACTTTTAACCCATTTCATCTGTTTGCACACTCGTTCCAATTTGCTCAGTGTTTTCGTCTACACAAAAACGCCATAATTTTGCACAGGTTTAACCATGTTCTCATTCAGAAAACACAAACACACAATATAAGTAACTCAAGCATCAAAAAATATGCAAAACTCAAACAGCACACATTTATCTATATGTGAACATTCAGTAGCAAAACTGATGACACACCAGTCCGAATCTTAGGAAGATATGCACAGGAGCACAAGTGATTATGAGTTTTGGAAAATTAATCCTGGTAGTGGGAAACAGAGGAAAAGGAGGGGAAAATAAAAACGAAGGGGATGAGGTCAAAGGTCATTTGTTCCAGATGAAATACAAAGCACTATAGTTGACCATGTTCTTCTGGATGGAATGACCATGAGGAAAGTTGGCCTACAGGCTCATCTACAAGGTTTCAATACTACTTACACATACAATAGAATTACAGTACATAGTAGCAGTACTTCAGACGAGAGAACGTTCATTATTCTATGTACAGTAAATACTGTAGTACATGTTGTACACCCTCAAACTCATTACTATTGAATTGATTTGTAGCCGAGTATGTACTGTATTTGTGCAGAACTGTGAGATGACTGTCTAGGTGAGGCAGAGAAGTCTTTTGTCAGAAGACTTAGAAACTGCTATAACAAATACGGATTGAACATGAATAAAATCAATTAATAAAAGGAATTAAAATTCCAAGAAATTAATAGAAATTCAGCTACAGCTGAGTGATGACGTCACTTATCATCATTTTTGTCAACTACTTCATCAGCTTTTGCTGTCTTCAATTGCTTTATGCACTGCTCTACTATGGAAAGAGCCTTTAGAAGATGTGTGCCACCCTGGTGGAGGTTTCTTACTCGGACACACACGAGATGCGTGTTATGTGCTTGGGAGCAGTGCATGCCTGGTCAGCACTTGAGGGCCCTGTCTGGCCCCGTTTAGGGGGAAGAGGGTAAGCCCATGGTTCGGGTCCCACTGAGGCGGCTCACAGGTTGTGGGGCTCACACGTTGATCTTACTGAGGAGCTGGAGATGGGTCTTTCCCTTTCCTCAGCTTCAATCGCAAGCTCTGATATCCTCAGGTCAGATCAGGAAGCACAAGCTGAGGAGGCTTGCGATTCATCTGAGTGCTGGTCATTGCCCAACTCTGGTTCTGAGGAACCAGAGGGGATGGCAGTTCAGGTGGACAATCAGAGTGGGCCCGCTTCCTGCCTCACTCCCACTAATCATGAGTTGGTGGATGTTTTGACCCGCGCCATGACTAGACTTCGTTTGGAATATTGTGTGGAGAGGGAGGAGCCTGTTCCTGGCAGGCTCGATGAGCGGTTACTCCTAGGTCCTAAACGTCCCTAGCCTGTAAGCCTTCCTTTCCTCCCAAAGCTTCATGATGAAATTCCTTTTCAGCTCATGTTTTTCGACCAGACACTGAACTACTTTAATGTGAAGGGGTTGCAAGGTCATGGGTGTGCGATGATGCCCCCGGTTGAAGAGGCTTTGGCCGACTACCTCTCTCCGGAAGCTCCATCCTTGTGAAAGGCTCTCGTTCTTCCTACTAAACCCTACCATTTTACATCTAAATTAGTGGGCAGAGCTTATGCAGCAGCTAGCCAGGCTGTTGGGGCTTTGCACATGTTGGCCATGTTGCAAGTCTTTCAGGCAGACCTGCTGAGAGACTTTGACCAGAGTGAGGGACTGTATCGTGAAGCCTGTCTCTGCTCTGTTGTGATGTAAACCTCTGATACATAAATGAGCGCTGACTACTGCAGTTGGTGAGTCATGATTTAATTCTGACTAAGTGTACTGTAGCAGTGGGGGTGTGCTCTTTATTGTGTTACTTGATTCTACAGGTGACACCTCGGAGTGTTTCCACACTTTTTGTTAGAATGCCCCGCACATTCATTAAGGAGGGAGAAGTTGATGTTGGGATGAATCCCTTATGATTCGGTTGTAATTTAGATAAAGTTTCTCATATCCTTCCCGCTGCCTAGCACTAGATGCAGGAGCTCGGAGGACTCTGCATACCTTGCTGTATGCAGGTATGCATTCCTATAGATCCTGT